GGATGGTAGTCCTCGACCCAGGTTCTCAGGATAGTATACTTGACGACGCCGAAGGATGACGGAGTGACCGGCTGGGCAAGAACGAACTCGTATAAAGAATGGGGGTTTTCGGGTATCTCAGCAGCACTAGATCCGTAGGTACGCATCCATCGAGGAAGGATTACATGACTTCGCGGCGTCAACAGTGTTGTTGTGCCGGTCATCTGAGCAATATAAATATGAGATATCGTAAAGTTCTGGGCAAGGAACGGTTGTCATGCTGTGATCATGTGCTCCATACTCAAGACACCTGATAAGTATGTGTAAGCGAGCCTGAGTTGGGGAGGGGAGAATACATACCATGGAGCACTGCGCGTTCATCTTCATCCTAGAAGTTAGTTGAACGATGCGTCGCTTGGAAGATGTGATGGGTCATGTAGTGTACCGCGAAATACTGCAGCAACGGTCAAGCCAAGGACTGTTCCATATCTAGAAGGTAGTAAGCAGCCTTGTATTATTAAATCGCAAATGGACTTATGAGAACCCCGAATACTGAAGTTTGCACCTGCTGCTTCGTTCATTCGAAGCAGATTTCGAGTAATGTGGCCGGTCTTCATGTATCTCATGAGCCCGTAACTCAGCTAGTTCTGCCAGTGCTATAACCTGCGCAGATGCATATAAATGAGAGATCTCATTGGGCGGGGTTTTAGAAACATTGGTCCAATATGGGGAATGGTAAGCCACGAAGAGTGCTTTTTTTTTTGGTCGGGAAAAACTCTACTGGAGGTGCGTAATTGTGCCTATATCGGGGACCGTGTGAGAGATAGGGCGGGTTAGACTAATCGTACCGACCACGAGGATGGAAGTTCATGATATCGCATTGGTTCTAGATGACGCGACAGTCCTGGGAATCGGGAAGTACCTGGAATCGCGTGCAATGATAATTGGAGTACCAGGCGACGAGGGGGCCAGGTGACGCATTTTTGCAGATTTAATTTGGAGGCCTCTGCCGAACCTCAAATTCGGACTCGGACTCGGACTCGGGTGACAGCGTGGCAGCAAAGCATGTTTTGTGAGTGTATTTCCAACACCTCGCAGACCGGACCATTTGTGAAAGTCGCCGTTGGAACTTGGGAGGCTGACCAACTTCTGTTGGCCAGCGTGTAGCTATCATTTGATAAGTTTAGGATATTTGAGCGCGGTTCGTTTGGGAAAGGCTGAACATATACGTGACGATGTGGAAATGGAGCTGGTCGGGCATTCTTGGTTGATATCCTCATTTAGGCACTGGGATGATGACGATAAACTTTGCGGGATGAGCGGTGATGTTTGGCTCTGGGTATGATCGTCACCTTCAGAGTCGGACACGTCGTGGTATCCATTTAGTACGCGACTAGCGCGTCGAGAACATCGCACTAGTGAGGAATATATGATTTGATTTTAATATGGTGATGACCGCTGATCTAGCTGGTCTTTTACCATATGAGCTGGTATTTTCGCGCTGCCTCAGCCCCGAGCTCAGCTTCTGTGGACTCATGATGGATAGAAGTAGGACTGTGTTGTGAGATGCGTTGTTCGTGAACTTCCGGCCTGGTTAGACATGTTATAAAAGATCGGACCCGAATGTAGAGATGAGATTTACGAAAGTACGACTTTTTGGGGGGTTAAAGCCTATCGTTTGGTATAGAGGCTGCTACATGAATATCATGCCAGGTGGAGTGTACGAGGTGCACTACATCTACGTGCCGCTTGAAGTACAAAATTGTGTCAACAATGTCTGGGAAGGACTTCCAGCGTGTCTTCGCCGATCTCGAAGCTGACGGGGAGGGGCTGTATTCATGAGCAGGAGCTATACAGACAATAAATGGAATAACACGGAGGGAGAAAGGCCACGTGGTTTTACGGGCGCAAGCAAGAAGCAGAAAGATCCTTTACCCTTAAGTGCCGTGCTGGGAAAGTTATTATGCGTCAATATAGAGAGAAAAAGACCCTAATCTACCTGGAGTCAGTGGATCTGGAAGACGTCACTGTGGAGACTGGTACAGTTGTGAGGAATTGGGAGTGTAAAAACGTTTGTTGTCTCAGCTGTACGCCATTGTTCAGGGAACGTCGAGTGAACCGCTTTACTGACAGTCTTTTCAGGAATCCATAGAGGTTTCCATGGTCCACAACTTTGTGGTAAGGATCGGCCCATTTAGGTCAAGTCGACGAATGAGAAGATAAAACATTCGTTCGCGCTGCTATGGGTTCTGAGATGATACGTCGGCCCGACCTCCGAAGCCATTTTCAGGACCACGTGAATATTTGTTCCCACGACTCCTTCGTTTGTGGACCATGATCACGATTTCGACGGACACTCTTTTCTCCATCGCCAGACCCTTTTATATGCGCTCCTAGAAGACCATTATCGGATATTACTTGCGGCAGGGTGGCCTTTGGAAGAGGAGAGAGAGGAACGACGCGAATATGTGACTTGAAAATGGAGTTTTGAGGCGTAAAAGGTACGCGACGTGTCCTGCTGTTGTATTCGTTTCTTGATCTACATGATAGTGCGGTGGGCGCTCCTCGAGATCATCATTGACGGGCTCGCAGAGTGAGCAATCGTGCACAGTGGAGTTGGCTTATCCCGGACAGAGGTTCAGGTGCGGCATGTACTCTGTCGACGGCTTCTTGGTGCCGGATTGGTGAACATTGGTCACGTCTCCGATAGTTCGTGGACTCTGGATGCAAGATGGCCACGTCAAAAACGTTTGATTTGTCCTACTCCGGAATGAGGCCCTGATGTATCGGCTCTCCTGGCGATGCTCATGCGTTATTTTTTGCAGCCACGCAATTATATCCTTGCTACTCTAGGCTTGGACAGACTGAGCCGCATTTAGGTCTATAGACATTCCTAACCAGCAACAAGTCTTCACGTTAATGCGACTCGGAGAATCGGCACGACCATGCGGTAGCCGGTCCCTCAACACATGCTTACCGTCACCAGGCTATCACTACTCTCTCAACACTTCCATGATGTCCCAAGAACTCGCAGCGACTTATCATCCCACCTTCAACGCCCCAGACGCCGATGCCATCCTATCCTCCCTCGACAACACCCTCTACCGCCTCCCATCCCCAGTCCTGCGCCGCACCACCACTTTCTTCGTGTCCCCGTCTTTCACATTCAATCCTCCCAGCAAGCCTATCCCCATTCACGAGCATGACGCTGTCCTCCAGCGGCTCCTGCGGATCCTCAGCGGTCTCGCGATCCCTCCGTGGCGCACGTTTGATAACCTCGAGGGCGTGCTGAACCTAGCTGAGACGTGGGGAGCGAAGGGAGCGGTGGACGTCGTTCGTGCTTCGATCACTGCGCCAGTGTTCCTGCAGGAGCCTCTGAGGGTTTATGCCATAGCGACGCGATTTGGGTGGGACGAGGAAGCGGAGTTCGCGTCGAGGCATACGCTGGACTTGTCCCTGCACGACGAGCTGCACCAGGAAGCGCTGCGGCGGATCCCGACGCGCGCGCTGGTGAAGCTGTTCAAGTTCCACCGGAAGCGGCGGGATGCGTTCCGCGCGGGGATGGCGGCCGAGGGCGAGGAGAGGAGGTGTGCGGGGTGCGGGGAAGCGGTGGGTGGGGCGGGGTGGGCGGCACTGGTGTGGAGGATGTTCTGGGAGATGGACACGCGGCCGTCGGGGGAGGGGCTGTGCTCGTTGGAGGTGGAGGAGTGGGACGAGATGGAGAGGTGTTTTGGGGAGAGGTGTGCGGGGTGTGGGAGGGCGGTGTATGAGCGGTTGGCGGTGCTGGAGAGGGTGAGGAAGTGTTTGGATGAGTTGCCGGATACGGTGTGATCCTTTCTCTTGTTGGAACGATGTATGTCAATCCTGATTGTATCCGTATTCTGTCTAAGCTGGTTCGTGAAACATTGTTCTAGCGAGACACGGACTATAAGCAACACCGTGGTAAGCGCGCGAGCGTCTATGTATTTTTATTATACTTGGGCAATCTCCGCTTCCTCTTCATAGGTCGAATATAACACCTCGTTTTCACTTCAGTCTCATCCTGTGCCATGTATAAATACCTAGCCTGCTCCCTTAAACACCAGTAGTATAATGGTTAACATGTGGTCTACCCAAGTACCCATTTGTCTCCTTTGGGGTTCGAACCCCAATTGGTGCATTCCTCCTATTAATGGTAAGTTTTTCCAAATTCCCCGGACGTCCCTGACGCTCACGTATTACACCCGCGCACGAAACCTCCATGCGAGATTAATACCGTTTTGTACCCAACCTGCCTTGGGGGTTTCTTACCGGTATGGTAATTTACAGTTTCTTCCAGGTCCTGTGACCATCGCGAAGTCATATTTCCAATTCAAATGTGCACCAGACCCTTTCTTCCCGCCTACTCATGGATTCACTGGTATCTCTGATCTCGCTGGGTTCCCGTACGATACCAGAATTAATCGGTTTCGTGAAAGAAGCAGCTCTGGACTCGAGGTACGTGCGTGCATTTGTACGAGTTTCGTTATTGTGTGGTAACTTCATTCCGGGCTAGGATCTCAGTGTATGCCCGATAATAGCGTACAAAAATCACGACTGGTCACAACCTGAAGCTGGGGTATTTCGTGACTAATGCACAACGACGCGATGGGTGTCCCCCCCACCTTCATTCACCACCCAAAGCTTATGCCATATGGGATTATGTCAGTACCTTGCAAGCTCGGATGCCTCTCCTATCTTCGCGAGTCCTGTCCTGGTGCGCTAGGTCGTCTTACGAAGATTCACGTATCGCGAACGTGTAGACGGGTTGACGTGATGAGTGCCAGCGTTCTGGAGAGGTTAATCCGTCTGTGGATGATATATGCGAGTTTTCAACGTCTAACCACGGATATCGAATAGCCAGGGAGGTGTGATGAAGCGATAAGGGGTAGTGTCGCCGAATGATCACGATGCGCACGGGTCCCGGGATGTGTGGGTGGGGGGTGCATGCTAGTGAGTGAGGGTATGGAGATGGAGTTTGCGAGCCTAGCGGCATACTGAATGCATCAGTGGTGTAATGGTCAACATGCGGTCTTCCCATCATCGTAGCGAAACTTCCCAATGGCCGCGTTCGGGGTTCGATTCCCCGCTGATGCACTTGCCAACTCGAGTACCTTTTTCTCAAATCCCTGGACGTGACTCTCTTTGCGCGGTACAATTATGTGCCGCCATGTATGTACCGCTGAGCTTCTTTAGTATTGTTCGGCTTCCACACCGAGAAAAGGTGCTCGGGGATGAACTGGTGAGTGGCTGTAGACTACTTCCTTGATGCTACGACCTGGCTTGCGCTCATTGTTTGGTGAATCCGAATCATCAGAACTTTTTGCTCAGGGGTATCTCTCTCGCCTCTGTTCACATTTCGAGTGTCTCTGATGTGTATTTGCTGTTTTTTTTTGTGACTGTCATGGCATTCCGAGTTTTAGTCCATTCTCCGTCCTCCCGGCTCCATTTCTGTTTCAGCTTCTTCAAAATCGTCATCGTCCAAGGTGGGTGTTTTGACTATCTCCGATCTCGCTCGGTTCCGTTCGTACGAGAATTAATCAGTTTCGTTCAAAGTGCATTTGTCCGAGTTTCGTGATTGCGGGGTGTCTTCATTCCAGGCTAGGATCTGTGGGGAATTGAGTTAGATTGGAGACTCGAAGCCTTACGCAAGTCTCCCCGAGGTTTTTGAGTCGACTTTTTGTTCGACTCTCTTTTGTAGGAATTCAAAGTAAACCATGGCCCAGGTAAGACGGCGGTCCGACCAAGACCCCCTTTTTCTGAACCTTGCTTCAAGGCTGAGTCATTCTCTATCTGACATGATGCTCGTCTTTGAGATGGGCCCGATCCTGATATTCAGGCTTGTCAGAGGCATTGTAGCTTTTGCTTTTCTTCTCTCTCTTCGAGTTCTTAGTACTACCATACTAGGATCTCGTTAAGATGTGGATACCCATGGTTCCTCGTCTCGTCATGTTCAGATGATGTGAGGGAGTCGGTGACTATGCTTTTTTGGGGGTGGTCGTACTGGCTCTCATTCTGTCCATAGCCATACCGGTGAGATGTTTGCACTGCTTGTGGCAGGATCCAGAATTCGTGTTCTCTGATAAAAGTCAGTGATCCGTAGTTTCATTTACAGCCTGCTGCTATTTGTCCTAGTTCATAATGCGGATAGAATGCATCAGAACATATCCTCTCCTCTGCGCGGGCTCTATTCGTTATCATCTTTCAAGTTGTGAGCAGTGCGTTCAGTTGTGTTCAACCAATGTTTAATAGTTAACAATGCATTGCTCAGGTTTTACCTTGACGCGCCTTTTTTGCGGGTGGATCTCCCAAGATCTAAATTCAGTTTCTTGCCATCCTAAATCTGTTGATTTCAAGATTTCAAGGTGGAAAGAGTTGACGTGGATCGTTTGGTTTTTTTGTTTTGTTTGGATGTCCTCTTGTCTGACCGTCTCGCCGCCATCAAGTGTGTACGAGAGATCCCTTCTTCTTTCCTTCAACGCCTACTATCCAAAATTTACTCACGACACTCACAATTGTCGTTGGGTGCTTCGACTCTCGCTGTATGATGTCCCTGGATTCTGTTCGTATGATAGTAAGAGAATTATTTTCTGTGTAGGATCAGTACTAACTTCTGGATTAGATTAGAGACTTGAAGCCCTTGGCTCAGCCTGATGTACAGGCTTTTTTTGGTCTTTCGTCTGGCCAAGATCACCTTTTTCTGAACCTTGTGTGCTTGCTGATCAAATTTTCATCTGCCTTTGCTTAACAGTCATTGATACATCATACCATGGACTGTAGGAACAGTGCTTTAATATATTATCATTAAGTATATACTACAGTCTTTGATGTATCTAGACGTTGGGTAGCTCTGCTTAGTGTTTCGGTTAACATTCGGGTTTTACCAGTTTATCTATTGTGTCGATAACTTGGACTCCAACTACCTAAAGTCCTTGATTCGGGCTCCGGTCGGCCTGCCCATTTCGACACGGACTGTTGAATTCTCATATTTGAGCTTCACGGTGCGCTACTATGTATGGTATCCTACACTCGGCTGATACTGATACATAAATGCTTTCTAGGATCAGTATTTGTTCCGTTTTGTTTGCGAGAGAGTTTGATCGGTGACCTACTCAGGTTCAATTGTCTTGCTATGACTCGGACCTTGAATCCGATTCTTGTATTGTCGACTTCTGCAGCCGCCTCCCGCTTTTTGATGAACCCGAGAGTACATGTAAGTCGAATATAAATACCGCGAGCGAGATATATGCTTAGTTGTATTATTGACTACGTTCTTATGTGAAAGCCGACAGCTTCAGGGACCCACTAGTATAGAAAACCGATTAGGCGCGTCAAGTAAAGCTCTGTAGCGTAGAATCATCGAAGGTATACGAAGAGACAAGGGGCCGCACCCCTCTTCCCAGCTTGTTGAAAATCAGATAAAGAAAACGAAACATCCACCTCCTTGTCGTCGTTGCTATCCAGGACTTGGCGGGAATCTAACACTCGCTACCTCCATTTAATAGCGAAAGATTTATAGAATTGCGTGGGAGCGATGAAGTTAACCTGACTGGTATGGATAAAAAGCGAGGGTAGATCCCACTTGCACTGGCTGGAGATTCGGACGGCCCGGATTCTTTAAACAACCCCGATCCTGGGCTTGGGCTAGCAGCGTCGGGGAAGCACTCTGCTTCTGAGTCCCACTGCACTGATGTACAGCCATTGAAATCGTCGCTTCATCTTGGAGCGCCTTTTCTCCAAGATGGGCGCCTAGATGGTACGGTACTGTTCCAGGTAACTACTATGGGTTAATGATTCCGATGCTGGAACTGTATCACTGGATGCAAGAGAGGGATTCAAGAGTGACCAGTGATACCCGCAGATGTACTAGCTAGTATAGACAAGTAGCAAACAACGGACTGGGTACACGTGATCAGGGTGGAACCGGACCGTGCCTACACTCGCATCTCCCGCGTGGTATCAAGGCTAGCACAGGAATCAATAGAACTGGTCCACTAAATGGACTCGACTCGGATGCAAACCTCTTTCCTATGGTTTTTGGGCATATCTTTTATGTACGTCGGGTCTTTTCGTGTAGGATATAACATAGACCATGGTCATATACTCTCAATCCTCCCTAGATTACTAGAACCTAGAGATACAGGAGGCTTCGGTCTGGAGCGCAATACCCAGGCAATTGAGGCCTCACTACGGTGAATCAAGCTCGCCGGACTCCTAACTACATGCAGCAAGACTACGGGCAAGCTCTGGTGCTGCGGTCCGGACTCGAGCTGGGCACAAGAAAAGTTGCAAACTCCTCGGACATCCACGCGATTGGCTATACATAACCCTACCCACGTACACTTTCGCGGGAGAAGCTGTGCTTTTCTTAGAGAAAGGGGGAGGGGGGGAGAATAGTATTGGCATAACCGGTTGGGGGTATGACCGTCCGCGATGTAAGTCCGTCAAGAGAGTATCGGGCCATATGGCTGTGATTGGGTCTCCATGCTGATATTCGCACGTACAACGGGACCCGGGTGCGCATGGGACGATTGAATTAGGGACTGGAGCAATAGATACAAGCGCGGGAGAAAATTCATGGGCGCCGTCAGGTCAACGTCACTGAATTTACGTGACTTGGTGAAAATCCACGACTTGCGTATATGTACGAGAACAAACGGACTTGGCGCATGAGTGTTGTACAAAGGCGGGATTGGGACGATCACATGATGGGGTTACTGTAAATTAAGTATGTAAAAAGTTTTTCCGGTTCCAGGTAGATGATGTTTGCCCCATCTGGCTGACGCATCCATGAGAGACTCCGACATCTTATTCTCGATGGCCGGAATCTATGCGGAACGTTGATGAATTTCCTCGGGGGACGCGCCTTTCCGCCGGGTATTTAATTGAAGGCTCTATTCTGAATAAAAGCCACCTGACATTGAACTCCGCTACTTTAGATATTGCATAATGCATTGGTGTTCTATGGAAGCAACTCTCGAAGAGCTGAAGTACATGCTCTGTTTTGCTTATTTAGCTCTTCTATGTAACCGAGATCTAGTACCGTCCACAAGGTGTTGACCCTCTTTTTTAGAGTAGTAACTACGGGATTGTTTATTAATGCTTTGTTTGGCGGGTAGGGAATGGGCATCAGAATCACGAGCCTGCACCAAGAAGCGGTGTCAGATTATTGCTAGCATATCCCGAGATATAAGTCAAGACAAACTAACAGTCACAGTCGGTATTTTTGAATAAAATCACAAGGTAGAAGTGATTAAATAGTCGCGTACAACCGTGAACCCAGGCGCTATGAGCCGCACTTTGTGAAGACTCATTTGAGGATGATGAAAGCATGCGATCTTGACACAGAGCGTGAAAGCTGAGTTGAATCACAAAGGAGAGGTTTCCAAAGATAATACGGTCGACGTGTTAGACCGGACTGGGGTGGAGAAGGTATTAGGAGAGCACAGACCAAACCAACCTTTCAATTGACGGGATGGTCTCTAGCACCTCGGTAGATTTAAAGAACTCGGGGAGCTCGGATATCTGGACGTCTCATAGCGCTGATGTTTAGCCGTCCTTTCGTTCTGCAGCTACTTACGTCTTCCCTAAACCCGCGGAGATTTCGTTGCAACTTGTATACAACATAAGGCTGTATATTTCATAGTTAGTCCTCATGCGGCGTTCGCCACGGCTGTAACCTACTTTTGGCGCCTACTTCCTCTGGGAAACGGCCGCGCGCTCAGGGATTCCTATTTTAATGATATAGCGCCATAGAACGGGTCGGTACCCGTGCCGTCAGGGTCCAGTCGGGTTTGAGGGAAAACTGACCAATATTCTGCCCTAACCTCCCATATGTGGTTATCAAGCGGCAAGCCGCATACGATAGCTGTAAACTAATGTGTACTAGTATGCCGAGCGTTGTTAAATATCACCTAGGTACCACAGAAAGGATGAAATCCCACCATTTCCATGCAAGTACCTGTTTATGCGATGGATTGATGGTTGGAAGAGTTGGCGAGCTTATACGCTTAGGAAAGATGTTAAAGTTGACAATGAAGATCATGTTTAGTGAAGGAATATAAAGCGAACGGCTCGAATCAAAATCTCGGCTTTCA